ACTGCCTGCTTTAAGTGTGTTTCACAAAGAAGAGTCAGGCGAAATTAGATTTCAGGAAATGCTTTAACCTACGGCGGGAGAGGAGGAAAGTGGGTGTGTACGTGAGGGGTGCGTTGGGGGCGGGGGGCTAAAACTTGTCGAATGATGACTTAAATATGCGATGGTCTTATTTTGTGTTTATCCAAACCGTTGCATATACTATGATGTACCACACCACGATGTCTAATCCCAAGATAAATAACCCTAAGAATATTCTAGAGAGGGAAAAATGTATCCATCTAGAGCTATTATGAAACTTGCCTACTCGTTTCATTTGGTTTGTTAATGAGATACAATAAAAGTGCATATTCTATAACAGATAGAATTATAATGTTTTAAATGTTATTTTTCATGATAAATAATCAAACGGTTTTGCTAGTAAAGGGGGTAAAAAAGGTAATAGATTTATAATTTTGTACCTTTTTTTTAAAAAGATGATAATAACTTTCCAAGTTTAATAAATGTTTCAATCTTTGCATCATGATGCCATGAGTAGTTTAGTAATGTTTCTATATTTACATCACGATGCCATGAGTATTCTAATAAATGTTTCAATCTTTACATTACGATGCCTTGAGTATTCTAATAAATGTTTCAATCTTTACATCACGATGTCATGAGTATTCTAATAAATGTTTCAATCTTTACATTACGATGCCTTGAGTATTCTTATAAATGTTTCAATCTTTACATTACGATGCCATGAGTATTCTTATAAATGTTTCAATCTTTACATCACGATGCCATGAGTATTCTAATAAATGTTTCAATCTTTACATTACGATGCCTTGAGTATTCTTATAAATGTTTCAATCTTTACATTACGATGCCATGAGTACTTTAATAAATGTTTCAATCTTTAAGGTACGATGCCATGAGTATTCTAATAAATGTTTCAATATTTACATCACGATGCCATGAGTATTCTAATAAATGTTTCAATCTTTAAGGCACGATGCCATGAGTATTCTAATAAATGTTTCAATATTTACATCACGATGCCATGAGTATTCTAATAAATGTTTCAATCTTTACATCACGATGCCATGAGTATTCTAATAAATGTTTCAATCTTTACATCACGATGCCATGAGTATTCTAATAAATGTTTCAATCTTTAAGGCACGATGCCATGAGTATTCTAATAAATGTTTCAATCTTTAAGGCACGATGCCATGAGTATTCTTATAAATGTTTCAATATTTACATCACGATGCCATGAGTATTCTAATAAATGTTTCAATCTTTAAGGCACGATGCCATGAGTATTCTAATAAATGTTTCAATCTTTAAGGCACGATGCCATGAGTATTCTAATAAATGTTTCAATCTTTAAGGCACGATGCCATGAGTATTCTAATAAATGTTTCAATCTTTAAGGCACGATGCCATGGGTAGTTTAATAAATGTTTCAATCTTTACATCACGATGCCATGAGTATTCTAATAAATGTTTCAATCTTTAAGGCACGATGCCATGAGTATTCTTATAAATGTTTCAATATTTACATTACAATGCCATGAGTATTCTAATAAATGTTTCAATATTTACATCACGATGCCATGAGTATTCTAATAAATGTTTCAATCTTTACATCACGATGCCATGAGTATTCTAATAAATGTTTCAATCTTTAACATCACGATGCCATGAGTATTCTAATAAATGTTTCAATCTGTACATCACGATGCCATGAGTATTTTAATAAATGTTTCAATCTTTACATCACGATGCCATGAGTATTCTAATAAATGTTTCAATCTTTAAGGCACGATGCCATGAGTATTCTAATAAATGTTTCAATCTTTACATCACGATGCCATGAGTATTCTAATAAATGTTTCAATCTTTAAATCACGATGCCATGAGTATTCTAATAAATGTTTCAATCTTTACATCACGATGCCTTGAGTAGTTTAATAAATGTTTCAATCTTTACATCTCGTTGCCATGAGTATTCTAATAAATGTTTCAATCTTTACATCACGATGCCATGAGTATTCTAATAAATGTTTCAATCTTTACATCACGATGCCATGAGTATTCTAATAAATGTTTCAATCTTTACATCACGATGCCATGAGTATTCTAATAAATGTTTCAATCTTTACATCACGATGCCATGAGTATTCTAATAAATGTTTCAATCTTTACATCTCGTTGCCATGAGTATTCTAATAAATGTTTCAATCTTTAAATCACGATGCCATGAGTAGTTTGATAAATGTTTCAATCTTTACATCTCGTTGCCATGAGTATTCTAATAAATGTTTCAATCTTTACATCACGATGCCATGAGTATTCTAATAAATGTTTCAATCTTTAGATCACGATGCCATGAGTATTCTAATAAATGTTTCAATCTTTACATTACGATGCCATAAGTATTCTTATAAATGTTTCAATATTTACATCACGATGCCATGAGTATTCTAATAAATGTTTCAATCTTTACATACGATGCCATGAGTATTCTAATAAATGTTTCAATATTTACATTACGATGCCATGAGTAGTTTAATAAATGTTTCAATCTTTAAGGCACGATGCCATGAGTATTCTTATAAATGTTTCAATCTTTACATCACGATGCCATGAGTATTCTAATAAATGTTTCAATTTTTACATCACGATGCCATGAGTATTCTTATAAATGTTTCAATCTTTAAGGCACGATGCCATGAGTATTCTAATAAATGTTTCAATCTTTACATCACGATGCCATGAGTATTCTAATAAATGTTTCAATCTTTACATCACGATGCCATGAGTATTCTAATAAATGTTTCAATATTTAAGGCACGATGCCATGAGTATTCTTATAAATGTTTCAATATTTACATCACGATGCCATTAGTATTCTAATAAATGTTTCAATCTTTACATTACGATGCCTTGAGTATTCTAATAAATGTTTCAATATTTACATTACGATGCCATGAGTATTCTAATAAATGTTTCAATCTGTACATCACGATGCCATGAGTATTCTAATAAATGTTTCAATCTTTACATCTCGTTGCCATGAGTATTCTAATAAATGTTTCAATCTTTACATCACGATGCCATGAGTATTCTAATAAATGTTTCAATCTGTACATCACGATGCCATGAGTAGTTTAATAAATGTTTCAATCTTCAAGGCACGATGCCATGAGTTTTTTCAAGGAAAAGTTTCAGTCTTTAGATCACGATGCCATGAGTAGTTTCACAAAAGTTTCAATCTTTAGATTACGATGCCATGAGTAGTTAAATAAATGTTTCAATCTTTAGATCACGATGCCACGAGTAGTAGGAACGTTTCACCATCAAGACGATATTTGTTGTTTCGATATTGACACTTTGATGTTTTTGTACATCAAAAAAAAAATGTTATGGTGATAAGAGTATTTCCTTAGATCACTAGGTATTGTTGAAAAAAAATATTAAGAAAAATTAACTTGTAATTTGAAATGTAATACTATTGTACAACGAAACAGATGCGGTTTATGACTTCATTTTCAAGCACCATTATCTTTTCAATAAGTGATGGAACGTGAACTGTTTTCCTTACAATATACAATGTTTATTAAAGGTGCATGCCTCCAGGTGAGACCAAGAATTACAAGATAATCGACCTAAAGAAAATTGTACTAAGGTTTTAAGAAAAGCAAAAATATTTACATTTTAAATAATTATTTACATGTTACATGCAAAGAATGACTAATGACTAATTTTACAGTATTTATATCCATATTTTCTACTGTGTGACTACTTCAGTGAGGGCTTTTGGCATCTTTTGGCATTTATTTCGTAATTTTGATGGACTGAATGTGCCGTTTTCAATGTGTAAATTACTATATTTGTTTAATTCACAAAATTTTACTTTTTAATACATTTTCAAAATTTTCATGAAGATAATCATGAATATGGAGGCATGCTGCTATAAGCTGAACCAACACTTCCTATTGGTTGATTGCTCACTATCAACTTAAAACAATTGGTCACATAAAAACTAAAATTTGAAAATCTTGGAAATATTACGTTACGGACTTAAAATTAAAAAAAACTGTAAAAGACAACAAAGAAATATACCCAGAATTAATTTGCAAACTGAGTTTTTGTCCAATTCATAGCCAGATTTGAATAAAAAAATCGTTGTTTTTTTGGTCAGACTTGAATAAAAATCGTTTGAAAATTTGAACAAAATTTATTCGTCCAGACCAACGTCAATTCTTATCAAATATCTGAAAAATATTTCCAGTCCCTTCATGTTAAAAACTCTCAGTGGAGTCCCTTTAATGTTCGTAGAACTATAATCCAATATTTCTTTATTACTATTTTTTTTAGAATACGGTATCTAAATAATACATTTTTTTTATCAATATTCGAAATAATTATGGAACATGTGCCCATTGCAGACCAATCCTCTTTTAACCTTATGTATATTACATGATACACTTAACAACACTTGTTTATGTGTTTGTTTATTGATGAGTGTAATTAATGTAAATTTCAGAGCAGACGTACTCGTGCAGATGAACTGCTTTATTTGAAGATCGCATTTTAAGTGCATGTGTATACATAAAATGAGCCGTGTCACGACAAAACCAACATAATGCGTTTGCGACCAGCATGGATCCAGACCAGCCTGCGCATCCGCGCAATCTGATCAGGATCCATGCTGTTCGCTTACCAACTATATTACAAGTAGAGAAACTGATAGCGAACAGCATGGATCCTGATCAGACTGCGCGGATGCGCAGGCTGGTCTGGATCCATGCTGGTCGCAAACGCATTATGTTGGTTTTGTCGTGACACGGCTCAAATGTTCATCTTACTTTTTTCAGTGCAGTCGACGTACGCGTGGAAATGAGGGTTTGAGAGGGTGGGGTTATTTGTTTAAGTGGTTCAGGTCGCTTGCCGTTACCTCTTCGAGGTCTAAGTCATTTAGGACCTTCTGAGCCTAAAACTACGCATTTTTGATGCAATTGTTTATAATTTGGCCGACAAATTCGATAAATATTTTATAAATCACGTCTACGGACCATATGCGCATAAACCTGAAACATAAACTTGTTAACTCTTTTGAAAAGCAGAATGATAACATTATAAGCGGCTTAACGTATTCATTTAAAAGAACAAAAATGTTAAGTGGTAAAACGTTCGAGAAAATGATCTTATCGAAATATTAATCTGTTAATCGCATATGATCAGCGCATCTGATTCTGTTGTTCTGTTATTTCAAAGTGGTACAGTAACTGTGCAAAAGCTACTTGTGTATTCGACTACCCTGTTTCACGTAAAGATATATCTCTACCTATGTACTAACAAATGGTTACTTCCCATTCGTTTCTTTTTTTTATCGGGATGTATAAATAAGAATCGTGGTTGAAATACTCGTTAATTATCTTTAGGTATCACCAACTATCGTTGCCATTGGACTGTCCCAGAAATTGTTCTATTACAACGTTTCATAATCTTCTGCCCTGGATATTTTTTTAGTTAAATTAAAATTTAACTTAATGAAAAAAAGTGATCGATGTTGTGAAAATAGTGTACCAGGAATTATGAAAATTATTGGATATAGTTTGTTCTTTTTAGTTTTTTGTTGTTGTCGCTCTTTCGCCGCAGACGACAATGAAGAAGCGCGCGCGCGTCAATTTGTCGAAAAGTATGATAAGGAAGCTGTCGAAGTGTCATATGAATCGGCTCTGAAATCATGGATTTATAATACCAACATCACTGACTACAACAGTGAACAAATGGTAAGTTTTATTTTTAGTTTACATAGATCTAAATGTTATTTCCCACAACGCTAGACGTTCATATTTTGACCAATGGACGTTACAAATGGCATGGATAGAAACATTTCTTCTTTTTTTTTGCAATGATGCAAATAAAATTTATCGAGCAAATTATGTTTAATAAAAAAAACAGTACTTTAAGTCTTCTGCATTTAGCATATATCATTTAACGAATTGTGACTATTTGTTCCTCTTTAGTAGTGCATACGAACTTATTCTCGTTCCTGGTACCAACCAATACCAAGCAATGAGTGTAAAGTTTCTTGCTCATGGGAACCACGGCTTGTCCCTGACGGGATTTGAACCCAAGCGGCCAGCAATTCTTATATTAAAAACCCAACGCGTAAATTACTCGAACACGTTCTTCTGTCAAAAGTAGTTAGGAAAAAAGAACACGTAGGCCAAGCAAGGGGTGGGCGGATGTTCCATTTAACAGATGGATATTTTCAGTGTTATATATTTATGACTCTATTTTAGACAATTGCATTGTTCATTTTTGTATCATTTCCTGAATGAATCTGCCAACAAACCAAACTTCATGGAACAACTGTCAAGATAAAACTGCCATATGTATATATGTTTTACTTCGAAAAGTTTGACATTTTGATCCTGGTACATTTTTTCATACTCGGGATAATACTAATAACTATGGTGTACCAGCGGGACCAAAATTGATGTTATTTCATAGATTTATCTAGGACAGCGAAATGTTGTTCAACTTGATTGGTATGGGCTTTATACAAGCCACTGATTTTGATACCCATTGGCCATTATTATCTCTAAAATGTGTCTCCTGATCTCTAAAATGTGTCTCCTGATCTAAATGAATTTGAACTTGACTTAATATACCAATACATGTATTTGAGTTTACAGTACTCTAATTTTTGTTAAAACTTAAAATCGTTTCATTTCAAATATTCTACAAAATAAAGATATGTTTAAACTTTGATGGAAATCAGTTTTTCTTTGTTTCCGCGTGATTGAAACGTAAACTGTTTCATTTAAAATATTCTACAAAATAAGAATATTTTTAAACTTTGATGGAAATCAGTTTTTGTTTGTTTCCGCGTGATTGAGATTGAACTAATGATATACAGTAACTTTACGAGCTGAATTAACATCTCAATACATGTGTTGTAAATTAAGTAATGCTTCTATTTTTTCATACTTTCTGTAAGTAATTTTCATATTTTGCCATTAAAATGATTGTAAAGATTTGAACATAATTTTCTACAATATACGTCTTGGAAATTTATTAATTGAATGCATGGTTGAACAGCAGATTTAAGATACAAATAAGTGCAGTTTAGATATTTTCAACATTATCATTTTTAAAGGTAATGAACGAGAGCCTTTATCTTCGCATGAGCGCAAAAATAAATATCATTTCCAAAATGAAATATCGATCAAAAAAAAAAAAAGAAGAAGCTAGATTGTAACATAGTTATCATTATTATATCATAAAGCTATTTATTCTTTCGAGATGGCATAGACTGTACACCATACTTATTGTTTTACTTTTTTCTCCGCTGGTGCAAATAAATAAACACTTTTTCCTTTCGTAATACAAAGCATACACGCAGCGCGTTAATTAAAGATATGATTTAGCACGGTATTTCCGGGACATCTGGGTTATGCAAAACGCAGCGTTGTAACTACATGTACTTCGATTAGTTCAGATCATGTTTTTTTCATTAATAATAGACATTTGTTCATCTGAAAAAAAGTTATGTTCATTGTTTTTACGTGCAACATGATGAAAATACTCACATTATCGCCTGCAATTAAAACATTAACAATCTCGTCTGCAATGAAGACATTTATATTGTCGTCTGCAAAAAAAGGCATTAACATTCCCGGCTATATTGAAGACATGTAAATTCTCGTCTACAATAAGGACACTGGCATCATCGTCTACAATTAAGACATTTATATTGTTGAATGCAGTGAAGACATTAACTTTCTCGTCTGCGGAACATTGACATTATTGGTTACAATTCAGACATTAAACAGTAAATGCACATTTACATATAGACTTAAATGAAAATATTCACGTCTGCAATTAAAACATCTACAATCTTGCTAGCAATGAAGAGGTTTAGATTGTCAAATGCATCAAAGCCTGAGATTCTGCACGGAGGGGCGCCTGAGGTCTTGTTATCCGTGTCTGCAACAAAGACAATTTCATTGTCGTTTGCGATAGAGATGTTGTCTATCTCGACTTTGATGAAGTCATCTTTAAAGTTGTCTGAATGTACATATTCACTCTCATCTGTAATTATGCCATTTGCATTCTCGTCTGTAACAAAGACAGTTTCATAGTCTTCTGCGATAGAGATATTGTCAATCTCGCCTTTGATGAAGACATCTTTAAAGTTGTCTGAATGTACATGTTCACTCTCATCTGTAATAATGCCATTTGCATTCTTGTCTGCAACAAAGACAGTTTCATTGTCTTCTGCGATAGAGATATTGTCAATCTCGCCTTTGATGAAGACATCTTTAAAGTTGTCTGAATGTACATGTTACCTCTCATCTGTAATAATGCCATTTGCATTCTTGTCTGCAACAAAGACAGTTTCATTGTCTTCTCCGATAGAGATATTGTCAATCTCGCCTTTGATGAAGACATCTTTAAAGTTGTCTGAATGTACATATTCACTCTCATCTGTAATTATGCCATTTGCATTATCGTCTGCAACAAAGACAGTTTCATTGTCTTCTGCGATAGAGATATTGCCAATCTCGCCTTTGATGAAGACATCTTTAAATTTGTATGAATGTACATATTCACTCTCATCTGTAATTATGCCATTTGCATTCTCGTCTGTAACAAAGACAGTTTCATTGTCTTCTGCGATAGAGATATTGTCTATCTCGCCTTTGAATGAAGACATCTTTAAAGTTGTCTGAATGTACACATTCACTCTCATCTGTAATTATGCCATTTGCATTATCGTCTGCAACAAAGACAGTTTCATCGTCGTCTGCGATAGAGATATTTTCAATCTCGCCTTTGATGAAGACATCTTTAAAGTTGTCTGAATGTACATATTCACTCTCATCTGTAATAATGCCATTTGCATTCTTGTCTGCATTAAAAACAGTTTCATTGTCTTCTGCGATGGTGATTTGTACATCATTGCCTGTTTTGAAGACGTTTTGCAATCAGGCCTTTTAAATATTTTTTGTTATAACATGTGCGTCTTTAACAGAAAGATAACATTATTATAAGAACATATAAACGAAGATGTGGAAAAATATGCAGACAATTTTCTTGATCTGTTTTAAAGGGGTAGAGTTAGTAAACTCTGTCTTATTGTGTGTTCCACTTGAATTGTGAATGCCTAAACATTTCTTTAAAAAATCAAAAATATTTTTCTTTAGTTTTTTTTCCATCCAATAAATTGGCTGTAATTTAGCACCGGTACCAGAACGTAAGCAGACGATAAATACGAATCAATCAACGTTAGCTATACACACGGAAAGAAATGCATTCAAAACACCAGTTACATTAGATAGTTATTGACATGCATTATGGGTAACATGACGGTGAACATGGTATACGTTGTAATACATACAATTGGCTATGATATGGCCTAATTATATAAGGCTCGCCGACTGTTTATTAATATCTGGTTTCATATAATCTAGTAATCTACCTAATAGATAATGGTTATTACGAAATCTAAATCTTGTTTACATTTGAGGAAAACATCATTTACAGAATACCTGGGTGGTGTATACAACGTAGTGTAACGTAGTAAATTATTGCCGTACTATTCCGACGCTGTTAAGCTTGCGCTTCAAATCCAGTCATGGCCATTCATCACCATTGGTATTACTGGGTACGAGACGTAGGCATTTGATGTTTTTTATCCAGACCGCCAGTGCCTTAAATAAGCAAATAAAGGGGAGCACATTAGTAACTCTTCAACATGGAAAGCTAAAACAGTTGCCACATGACCATGACACACAATGTTGGTTTGACTCAGAAAACAACAACCACACCAACCATTTCTTTTATGGTACAAACTGCATACAATTCAAATGATATACATATATCTTTATTCCAGGTTGCCCAAGATCTTGTGTCGGCAAATTTCACCAAGCGGTCCGCCGCGGAAGCTTCTCAATTCGACTACAAAAATTTCAAAGATGAAGATTTGAAACGTATGTTTAGATTTATTGCTGAACAAGGAAGGGAGGCTATGAAAGATCCAGCAAAACTTGAGAGAGTAAGTTATTAATATAAAATGAACTTAATTTGTTCTGTTTTTTGTTGTGATAAATGCTTCCGAGGGATCACCTTGTTTCCAGATTTTTTTACTTCACAACAGCAGGTGTCAAGTGCTGTGTGGCAGCTGTAAAAAGATGCCCCGCATTTGACTTCAGTGTTGTTATTTTCTGGTCCTTCGGGATCATTGATGCCAGCACTATTAAGTGTTGAGAATTGAGTACGGCTCAAGCCGGTGCTGAGGCGAGGTGGGGGTGGGGGGGCGAGGGTTGTTGCACATTTTCATTATCCCTCATGTACCCTCATGTACAGACTCAATCAATATGAGTCTACAATTTTAATGTAATTTTGTTGTGATTAATGCTTCTGAGGGATCACTTTGTTTCCAGATTTTTATCATATTTTTCTTGTTCATATTAACTTTCCCTAACAGGTGTCTCTACTCTTATTTCTTGCACAAAAACGCATTAAAGGTACATATTGCCTTAGAAATCCATGTTTTCAATTTCTTTAGAAATGTCAAATATGTGTTCAAAAATGGTTAAATACTGGATTTAGATTATGTTAGATTTATAACAACGCTGAACATGCAATAATGTGTCATAACGGTAGCAAAATGTAAAGAAAGCGGTATTTTGACTTCCATACATTACAAAATACTTAGTCTCTTTTATTAGACCAATTTCCAAAAGAGCAAAGGAAGCAAAATATAATTCGCCTTTGTTGCCAATGAGTATTTCTTATAAACTGTTACAAGATAAATCGAAGCACAGAAGGAGCTGAATTTGTTTGTGTCTCAGAATGTCAGAAAGTTGAAGGTTGTGAGATTATAAACCAATTTGTTTTTGAAAAGTGCCACCAATGCTGTTTCCAGTGTTATAACTGTAGTAAATTGGCTATGAGGCTAATTGCAACACTGATATTCAATTCAATGTTTATTTGGCCTAAACAATTAAAAAATAGATAAAAACAAAAAAAAACATGAGTAGCCTTAATTGGGATTTGAACTCCAGACCTCTTGCTTCCTAAACGAGTAAAACGGTAAACTTGATGAAAATAGTCATGGAGCTTGATATAAGCATGTATATCTGTCTGTAAAGAGTTACTCAATATTAGAAATCTTCGACAAATCGGGAACTATTTTTCTTCCCAGAGAAGGCTTGAAAATTAATGCGCCTGTCATTGGACAATCTTTACGCAGTGATCTCTTCTTAATTTTTCGGCGTTAGTGTACTTATAAAGGGATGTAACCGCTTCGAGGAGTTCGGACTACTTTCGGATTTTGCAAATAAGCATATCAGGGTCTGAAATTTCTCTTCCATTATTTGTTTGGTCTGACGACCCAAACAAATAAAGAATGATAGCATTTCTGAAGCACAATAGGCCTTTAAACCATAAATCAATTCATAAAATACATGCAATTTTTTTCAGGGAAACATGTAAACATTTGTCATTAATAGCACATTGAATTCCGTTTACTGTAAAATTATTAAAATGGTTCATCGGTCAATTTTTTTACCATCGGAATGCTGATAACTCAAGTCTTTTATCGTGTTGACCGGTGCATAAAAATGACATGAATGATTTGACGTATGAAGGATAAAATGCAAGTATATCTTCGTGTCAATTTTCGTGATTTTATAAGATATCTCATTTTCTCACGAACGAATTTTCGAATGTGCGTGAAACAAGCTAAGAATATCAATATGATCATGAAAAGTTTACAAGTCATTTATAATAAGTCAGTGACATTTTTTGGCATAACATAAGTTTAAGTATTTTCCCGACTGATAAAGCTGCTGAAAATTTCAAATTGATTCTTAAAATACCCATGTCAAATCCATATCACAACCCATATAGCCTCGTTTTCATGTCCATAGTCCAAAAGTTTAATATCAAATTCATAATACACCCTATATAAACTCCTTTTCATTTTAAGAGTCCAAACTATCTATATTAAATGCATATCATGCTCCATCTAGCCTCGTTTTCGTTTTGAGACTCCGAAAATCCATATTGTACTTAAAGTACAATAAGTTTATGTCAAAATGTCAAGAAATGGTGGTATGAAATAAAGAGGTCATTAAATATGGTTGAGAACAATACTGATTCTATTGGACTCGTACACAGCTGTCAAACCGATATCAGACTTAGCTAGCGTCTCGTCCAATATAGTTTTGACAGCTGTTTAATCGTTCATTAGAATTCAGTATTGTACTCAACAATGTATATTAATCTCATAATACAAAATGCTTTATTAAAACAACATTTATCATTAATTGTATTTCTCAGCCGTTCTTACTTAATATTATATTTGAACTTATTACATGATATTATATCAAAGAAGGATTTTTATATTCCTATAGGCCAATTAGGTTCATAATGCTTCTTGTTCTAGTTAAATTCTTATAAAAATTCAAATTGATTATTAAAATGTTATTTTGCCCAAAGGATATTCATTATTAACTTGTTCTCTTAATCAAATGTAATATGAGTTCAGTAATACATTAAAATTACAAGCACATACATAATTATGGTTTCTGGGACAGCTGATCAAGTACAAAATATACTTGAAATGAATAAAGAATCACCTGTTCCGAAAATACTACGTGCATTTCGCTTAAAAGCTCCTAATATGCCAGCGTGCTTAATTTGATGACTCATCCGTAAAAAAGTTCGGTTATGATATTTTTATTATTCGTCTAAATCAGTAGTCCTATAAAATCGTTTTTATCCAAATAATCTTTTTCCATATAGAAAAAATGTACGATCAAATTTTTCTATATGTATGTAAGAAATATGTCATGTTTCTCACTGTGAAGGTTCATTCGTTATATTTTCAGGTAATGTGAAATGACAAATGCATTAATTAATGGACTTCATCTGAATTGAAATTATGTTTATGTGTGTCATTGAACAATGTTTTTTTTCCGATGCACCTATCGCATTGACAACTTTTCTATCTTGAGAAAATATAACAAATGAATGTTTAAAGGCATATGCTACCGTTACATAGACATACAGGCAGGATGAAAATAATAGAATTTGTTTAAACTTTGAATGAACTTGGATCAAAAGCAGTTGTATAAATATGACCACTGTTATCAACACTGCACCTTTAAACTGCTGGAATAGAATTTGCCAGTATAGAGTTACATGTATGCTTATCCTTGCAGACTGAACCAGCTCTGGTTTCTATTTCATATAAGTTTAGTCTATTGAACTCCTAATTAAGATTTTATTTCTCAGCTCTCAACCAATGAAACCTAATTTGAACTTTGTACCTTCTAATTATGTTTTTATGCAAAGAACAAATAAGAATTATAATTATTTCTCCTAATAAGTTTCTAAAACTTGCAGGGCCTAATTAGCTTTAAGACATGAAACGTCACACAACACAATAAAATCATATAGCAATATAACAATTTTTCACCTTTAATGGTGGAGGAAGACATCTGGTGCCCCTCCTTGCACGAAATGGACTTTGAGCAGAACCGACGTTCCTTAAGCTAACTGGATAGCTTCCCCATGTGAAATAATCACAATTCTAAGTCCCTTGCGGGATTCTAACCCACAGCGGCGATGGTCAAGTAGATGGATACTAGTCTATAACATCATGCGACATTTAATGTTACTATTGCGACATTTAACGGCAGAAGATTTTGCGATATTTAGCGGTGGTTGCGGCAATTGTGCGACATTTAGCGGCTTTGCGACATATATCGGCGCCACTACATGCTCGTGCCGCTTTTGCGTAAAAACGGTATCGTATTTTAACGTGACGTCGTTTGCGTTATACAAACACAGTGTTAAGAACGCGCTACATGTAAGCGTTACACTACAGGCGCGTAATTGAAAAATGATTCTTTTTTCAGTTTAAACACTCTTTTCTTTGGGTATGTGATAAATAGAACATTAAAAAAATGTTTCATTTATTATCATTTATAAGTGATTCTCTTTAATCTTGCAAAGTTTAAAAACGTTCTGTACACGAGTTTAAATTTTTTTGCTTTTTGCCTATATAAAAACATTATGGGAAACGTCTTATAATAACATTTCATTTATATAAGAAAACGGGAGGGGTATTATCTAATGTATATCTTATATCTAACATCTCATCTTATCTCGTAATATACATTGTATATCAGACTTCGTGACAAGGTATACACGCGTGTGATATAGAATAATCTCTATTTGAGCCGCGTCATGACAAAACCAACAAAATGGGTTTGCGACCAGCATGGATCCAGACCAGCCTGCGCATCCGCGCAGTCTGATCAGGATCCATGCTGTTCGCTTACAAACCCTATTACGAGTAGAGAAACTGATAGCGAACAGCATGGATCCTGATCAGACTGCGCGGATGCGCAGGCTGGTCTGGATCCATGCTGGTCGCAAACCCATTAAGTTGGTTTTGTCATGACGCGGCTCATTTTACGATATATTAACACCAGAAGTACTCTGTGTTAAGATATCCACATTGTTTCTAGATCTAAGCATTTTCAAAATGTTACACAGGTCTTGAGCTTCAAAAGAAAAAAGTTTATGTTAACACCTTTCTTCATGATGAAAGCTCAGGAACAAAAGCATTTACAAAAATGAAAGAAGAAAAAAAAAGAAAAAAAAAGAAAAAACAGAAAAAACAGAAACACCTGTTTAACATCGGGTTACATTTCAGACAATTCTATTTTAAAAGAATAGCTACTTAAACTTTCCTTCCGTTCTTTTCCCACCTTCCGTTTATTGAAATATTTCGGTTTACTTCGTGACTATAAATTATCATAATTATTTTTCTTTGAGTCAAATAAAAAAGATAACGAATAAATTCATCTCAATAAACGCTATAAGGAGAAACAGCCGGGCTTTCCTTTAATATTCGAAATAGAAATAGAGTTCAACAACAACAAAATTTTTTTAAATGAATTTGGAAACAGTTAACGAGTGTTTAAAATTTTAAACTTGAACAAATCTGAGTGTTTTATTTATACTATTTAACTTATCGTGAATGTTGCACGTTTTGCAGCGTTCATAGTAAAACACGTGCATTTTTAAAGCATCTCAAAGTAATTAAGTGTAAACTGATTTAGACATATTTCTTCTTTAAAGATTTGATATTTACAACATAACTAGAATTCTAAAAGAAATATTGTACAAAATACTATGAGACTTAAGTATATTATTTTGCAAAAAAATATACTGATAGTCGAACCTGGGAGTCCATTCCGAGTACCGAGAAAGAAAAAAAAAACAACAAAAAAAACAACAACAACAACAACAACAGAAAAAACCCTTATCGTAACCGACGTAACGTATTTTTACCGAAGTACAATATTCCCCCTAATATTTTTCTAAAATACTTGTAGTGTGAGTGAACTGGTTTTTATTCTTATTTTGTTTTGTTTGTTTATTTGTTTGTTTTTTCCCCCTCAAATTTTTTCATTTTCCTGGAAAAGTTGCAAACATTTTTTCGCAAAATATTTCACAAATCGTTACTTGTCTTCCTTCAAAAACAATGTCATCATATCTATAAATCTCGTGTTCTTTCATACAGTTGAACTTGTTTAAATTTATTTATTTTACGATTACGCCCCTTTGATACTCTTTAAATAGAGAATAAAAAAAATAAATAAACAAATATATTTTTGCAACATCTTGTTCATCTGATTTCTTGAAAGCCAGCTTATCTTGTTATAGATAGAACTTTTTGAACCATCATTTAAAATGAATAGAATAATGTTCCCTCCGAAAATTGCAACAAGATTACAAAATAAAAACCTTTTTATCTATTTCGTGAAGCCAACCCACTTCAAACAAAAGCCGCAATTTATGATTTTATCTCAAACAAAGACTTAATTTTTAATACATTTTTGAAGTCTGATGCTTGAAAATAAAAGCAAGTGTCCGCCTATATAGAAAAACGTGATTTCTGCATTTTGGTTAGTTCGAGAACGGTTCAGTTTTTGTGTACTAAAACAATGTTCTTAACGTCAATAAAAAGACCCTGAAACAGGGTTGGTCATTCAAAAAATTTTTACCCAAAACACATCATTTTTTAACTAAAAAATGAATTTTCTTTTAAACCCTTTGGCCCAAATTTTTCCTGTGAGCCCTTTCAAATTCCCAGGCCCCCAAAATTTGGTTTTTTTCTTAAAATAAAGACGTCAAGTGAAAAAAACCACCTTCACCGTTTGGGGAAAGGGGTTACAGATTGGTTTTTTTTGGGTTACCCGTAAAAAGAAATTTTTAAGAAAGGAAAGTTATTTGTTGGGGGGGGGAGAGGGTTTTTATTTCCCGGTCCATACTACAAGTGTTTTGTTTCTAAAAAAAATGTTTGTGCTTTTGCTTGTAAGGAAAAAGAAACCGGTACTATCATATATTTTTTCAGACCCTTTCACCGAGATTTACCGGGTATATTTTTCTCATAAAAAATGGCCCGATTTGACAATTTTTAAAAATTTGAATCGAGAGACCAACGCATTTTTCTGCAATTTCGACATTATTTATGCATGCCTAGAAAAAGTAAATCTACAAAACTTTAGTCCTTTATGTTAGGAAACGTTTATTAAAGTAAATGACCAGTTGAACCTTTTTTCCTGTTGGTAAAAGGCGTTTGAAAAAATAAACAATGTTACAGTATAGAGCGAGGTAATTTGTGCAGGGTTACAACATAGACCTAGCGATTTGTATCCGATTTTGTTACAGTTTATACCCAGATTTCTGTTACAGTTTAGACTTCGATATTATATATATAAGTATACTAGGTAAAATGTATGAATGTTACATAGACTTTTAAATCTCTGTGAGCTTATTGGCCCGATGTCTTTTCGTCCGTCTGTCGTACACATGTGTGTGCAATCTCTTCCGCTCAGTAACTACTTGACTAAATGTGATGAAATTTACATGACTTTCTACCAATTAAGTTGTTCAAATGGTTTCATACGAAAACCCAAAACATAGATTTTAAAAAAAAGGCAATGTTTAAAGACCCTTCTCATCTCGAACCAAAAGCATTTAAATCAAATCATGATCATGGCGTCATTTCGAATGTTTCTTTGTTGAAGTTATTTTGTCATTATTAAATAAAGAGTCTTTCTTTTATTTCAGACATCCTGTATAACAGTTTTCATGTTTCTGAAAAAGAAAATAATATTGAAAGTTATAAATTAAGAGAGTATAAATTAAGGTCAGACAATTACAATACCTTCTCTAGTGAGCCTGATGGCGGTACATAATAGTGGCAGATTCGGGATAAGGCAGTCGAACTTCCCAAAATTGTGTGTAGTTGAAATCCAACATCATGACTTTATTCTTTTGCCATGCTGAGGAACTCTAATTAAAGCCTACATATTTACGGAAGGGTCGGGGGGTGTCTCACGGTAGGCCGCTCCGTGTCTGAAAATGCTTTCACCAAAATGTGTATCTGGTGTCTTTTTTTACACTAAAAACAGGGAATTTATTTTTCACATGACCCTCAATGTCGTGGGAAACCCCTTAAAACCAAGAAAACCCAAAATTTTTTAACAATAGAAAGGTTAAAACAATCCCCTAAGAAAAATTTCCAAACACAAACAAAATTGAAAAAAGTGTTCATAACCTTTTAATACTTACAAAAAACCATTATGGTAGATGGCAGGGAAAATTCCCAAACTTAAATAGAATTTAGGGTTAAACAGTATTTCCAAACTTTTAAAATATGTTTAATCATTCCTAGGGGTAATTGCCATGCTTGTTAATTTGTGTCTTTTGACAGCCTATCTATGGTATGCAGGCTTCATAACCTCCGATCTCCTCTCAAAATTTCATTTTGTTTAGTTTCACTCATTGTTTTCTTGTTTAGGGCACACACAAGTTTTAACCTGGGGGTAATATGCCGCTTTTCATAGAATGGCAATAACGTGTCACATTGACGGTTCCATTATAACCGCCATATGAACACATCCACAGATGTTAAAAAGTCTGAAGTGTACCAGTTCATGTTTAATGTGAATTCTGCTGAAGCCGGTGCTAGGAGGCGTGAACGGTAGCTTGCAGTTACCACTACCGTCCATGAACAGGTTTAGACAAACTGAGCCTGCAACATTTTCATGTTTCCCGTGTTGGACTTTTTCTTTTTTCTCTATTTTATTACTAATAGGCATTATTATAATGTGTAATGAAATCAAGCAATAATCTTTCTTCTCTCATTACAATTCGATAAAAGTTCGTGAAAACAGTCCTTACTTAGGACATTACTTATTCTGCAAAAAGTCTCAATCTGAAACTTAAAGTAAGAAAAATAGCAAACTAAAAACTTTTCTGCTGAAGAAAAAAAGTAATACAACCTTTCAAGAATGTATTAAATAGAAAGGTATGAGTTATTTCATAAAGATAATGGATACACGAACTTTGTTTGAAATTTGGCAAGTATCTAAACTGTAACAGAAATCTGGGTATAAACTGTAACAAAATTGGATCAAAGTCGCTAGGTCTATGCTGTAACCCTTCAAAATTAACCTCGCTCTATACTGTAACATTGTTTATTTTTTCAAAACGCATTTTACCAACAGGAAAATAGGTTCAACTGGTCATTTACTATAATAAACGTTTCTGAACATAAAGGACTAACGTTTTGTAGATTTACTTTATCTAGGCATGCTTAGATAATATCGGAAAAGGACGAAAAATGCGTTGGTCTCTCGATTCAAATTTTTTAAAAACCGTCAAATCTGCACATTTATGAGACAATATAGCGATTAATCTGCGGTTGCAGGGTCTGAAGAAATATATGACTAGATACCGGATTCTTGTTCCTTACAAGCAAAGCACAAAAAACATTTTTTAAGAAACTACACTACTAGTAGTATGGACCTGAATAAAAATCACCTACCTCTCTTCCCATCTTGAAAATTCTATACTGTAACCCGAAAAACGCGATACTGTAACACGTTCCCTACGGTGACCTTGTCACGTGACAAAATGTGAACGAGCATGTTTCGATTCAGTTTGATTTGCCATCGCGATCATTGATGCAAAAGTCAAGCCAGATTGATAAAGAGATTCAGCATAGCCTCAAAGTTGAGAGCGAACCTTGCATTCTAGAGTTCGAGTCCTGGACATGGCGCATAATGAATTATTTTCTATTGCCTGTTGGTTGACGTCAGTGTTCCTAATGTGATTCGTTCTCAACTATTTGCAGAAATTGTCTGTTTTTCTTGAGAAAAAAAAAACAAAACACATTAAAAGTGTTGTTTGGTTATATGTTGGCACGTGGATGTTTTATTAAATGATGATGTTTCTGTTTAAGCATACCAATATCAATATAATCCGTGAAATCAATAAAAACTATAAGCAGGTTTTGATTTTGTTCGGAAAATCTTTTTATTTTTTTTTATTTTTTAGCTTGGGGTTTGTTTTTTCAAAACGAAGTTTAAAAAGGTATTTTTCAAGTAAAGGGAAGGTATGCCCGGGGGTACCCCTGGACTACCGGGGCATGTCACTTGGCCCCCCGGTATAAATATAATTTAATTTTTAAAAAGGAAAAGTCCAAAAAGTTGTAAATTTTCATATTTTTATTTGAATTATAACCATTTGTTTGCTATATCCAAAAACCGGAAAAAAAATTTAGGATTGGGGGTTTTATATTGCAAATTTAACCCTTTAAAACTGGCCCCATAATAACCCCGTTAAAAATATCTGTATAGAATAAACAATCTATTCAATTGTTTGCAGTGACTTTTCGATTTTGTATCACTTAAAGCTGGAAAATCGCCATTTGACCTCTACATTGTTGTTGAACACAACAACAACAATAACAACAACAACAACACACATCATCATCAATAACAGCAACAGCAGCAGCATCAACGTCATCACTACCACTACCACCACCAACAACAACAAGAACAACAAAAACAACAACCTAAGATGGAACAAAATGGATATTTTTTAATAAAACTTTGAGACTAAATCCTTATTACGCATCAAGATTTATGTCAATTTTCACGAAATGAAATTTTGAATTGCTTCAAGTGTTGTTGATAGCAGTAAACATCAAATTAAGCTAGCTTTACGCACGTACAATTCGCATAAATTACCTAAATTGTGGCAACACATGCTAAATCAACGGTGTAAATATTTGGTGTGCGGTCAGAATTTTTTATGTAATATTAAAAGCTTTATCAAGCTTTTTACAAAATCTATTAAATCATTAGTAATAAAACTCTTGAAAAATATCCAACTCGCTTTTATTGCCAGTCGTTTTTATCACCAGGTCGGACACGACTTATGACAGACAGTAGGAATTATGATACATTTGCTTTTCTACTGTCAGTTGTTTTATAACCAGATCTGGCGTAAAGTAGGGATTATGTTACATTTGCTTTTTTATTGTCAGTTGTTTTTATTACCAGGTCTAACACGACTTATGACATAGAGTAGGGATTATGATACATTTGTCGCTTTTATTGTCAGTTGTTTTTATTACCAGGTCTGACACGACTAATGGCAAAAAGTAGAAATTATGATACATTGTCAGTTGTTTTATAACCAGGTCTTACACAAGTAATGGGGAAAGTAGGGGATATGATATAAAGGTGCTTTTCTTGTCAGTTATTTTTATTACCAGGTTTGACACGAACCATTATTTGGGAAAAAGTTTGGGCAAATTTATACATTGTTTGCTTTTTATTGTTCCCGGGGTTTTTTTTACCAAATCTAAAAACAACTTATGACAGAAAGGGAGAAATTATGAATACAAATTTTTTTTGCTTTAAATTTAAAAGTTTTTTTTTAAAGAAAAGGTTTGAAAAAAACGGGGGGGGCCCCTTATTTGGCGGAAAATTTGGGAAATAATAACATTAGGGCTGGGATGGAAAAGGTGGAGAGATGTTGCAAAAGGTGAAATGAAACAGTTGTATGAAGAATTTGTGGAACTTTCCAACGAAGGCGTGAGAGGTTCGTCTATAACATTTTCTTATCATTTTCTTTTAAATCACAACACTCATCTTTGAAATATTTTTTTCCATGATTTATCTTAGGATTTCTGCTGAGTCAAATTTTCTCTCTCGAGTTTCTTAAGGACCTTTTGCGAGGCTCACAATTATCTTCCGGATAACTTCAGCAGTGTAACCTGGTACTGAAAAATTAGTCGAAATTCATTAAAACAAGCAGACGAGAGATCAGATTAATCCTCGACAGCGTTTCAAACAAACACACCGTGATAAAAGTTAAATATGCAACAAATTAAACTTTGAATGTTTTGTTAATTTCTCACGAATTTTAAATCTCTGAAACTTGATCTGCTAAAATAAAAAAGGGGGACACAAGAGATTTAGTCAAACTCTCGTACGTATTTTGGCGACTTTTTAACTGGCCCAAACAGGACACTGTACATATTATCCCCTTTCTGTATGTGAGAAGTTAGCAGTGAAGAGTGAGCTAAGCAAAAAGGCATTTCAATTTATATAGGGAAGGTAATGATCTGCTGTAATGCTCAGCTGTTTTGGGCATCTAGCAGGGCATTCCTAAATATAGTGTAAAAATGCTCTGCTGGAATTGCTAAGCTGGCTAGGCAATCTAGCAGGCCATTCCTAAATATAGTGAAAAAATGGCCCTGCTGGAAATGCTAAAGCTGGCTAGGCAATCTAGCCAGAGCATTACTAAATATAGTGTAAAAATGCACTTTGCTGGAATGCTAAGCTGGGTAGGCAATCTAGCAGGACATTTCCCTAAATATAGTGTAAAAAATTGCTCTGCTGGAATGCTAAGCTGGCAAGCGCAATCTAGCAGAGCATTACTAAAATATAGTGAACAAATGCTTTTCTGGAATGCTTTTTAGCTGGCTGGGGCAATCTAGCAGAGGCATTACTAAAATATAGTGTAAAAATGCTCTGCTCGAATGCTAACTGGCTAGGCAATCTAGCAGGGCATTTCTAAAATATAAAGTGTAAAAATGCTCTGGTGGAATGCTAGCTGCTAGGCAATCTAGCAGAGCATTACGAAATATAGTGTAAAAATGCCTCTGCTGGAATGCTAAGCTGGCTAGGCAATCTAGCAGGGCACTTACTAAATAAAGTGTTAAAATGCTCTGCAGAATGCTCCAGTTGGCTAGGCACTATCAGCAGAGCATTCCTTAATATAGTGAAAAAAAATGCTCTGCTGGGAATGCTCAGCTGGCTTTAGGCAATCTAGCAGAGCATTACTAGATATAGTGTAAAAATGCTCTGCTGGAATGCTCAGCTGGCTAGGCACATAGCAGAGCATTACTTAATATAGTGAAAAAATGCTCTGGTGGATATGCTCAGCTGGCTAGGCAATCTAGCAGGGCTTACTTAAATATGGTGTAAAATTGCTCTGGTGGAATGCTAAGCTGGCTAGGCAAATCTAGCAGAGGCATTTCCCACAATATAGTAAAAAATGCTCTGGTGGAATGCTCAGTTGGCAGAATGATTCTGAGTTTCAGGATTTATTGTTGCCAAATTTTTATTGACATTTCGACTTCTAGGCAATTCTGAGGCACTCGCAGACTTTCAGGAATTTTCGGTGCCAATAGAAATTAATGATCATTTTTTGACTTCTAAGGACCGTAAAGAGACTATTTCATTGTCCTGCGACTTTTTGAAAAGGACACTCGCAGACTTTCTAGGAATTTTGGTGCCAATGCGCTGATATTGACAATTAAGACTTCTAGGGACCCTCAAGAGTCCATTTTTGGTCGGTCTGCGACTAGATTCTTGGACACTCACAGACTTTCAGGAATGGTTTTGGGGCCAAATGGAAATATAATCATATTTTTGACTTTCTAAGGGACCTTTAAGAGTCCATTGCATTGGCCTGCAGCGTATTGTTGGACACTCGCAGACTTTCAGGAAAGATTTTGGTTGCCAAATAGAGATGATGGTAATTTTTACTTCAAGGGACCCGCCAGAGTTCCATTTTTTTGATGGTCTGACGACTGATTCTGGGACATTCCGCAGGGACTTTCAGGAATCTACTGGTGCCAACTGGAGATAAATGACATTTTTGACTTTCTAGTGACCCAGCCAGAGTTTCATTTCGCTGGTCTGCGACTGATTTTGGGACACTATGCAGACTTTCAGAATTATGATGCCAAATGGAGAGATAATGACATTTCTTACTTTTTAGGGAACCGACCAAGAGTAACATTTCTCGGGTCTGCGATGATTCCTTGAGACTCGCAGACTTTCAGATGTTTTTAGTGCGCATTGTCAGATCATGACTTTTTTACTTTTAAAGGACCCTTAGTCATAAGCAGAGCATTTTTTACCCTAAAATGTCATTACTCTGCATGGGTAGCACCAAAAATCCTGAAAGTCTGCCAAGTGCCAAATAATCGTCGCAGACCAACGAAATAGACTCCTGGCATGGTCAATAATGTCATTGAAATTGTAATTATCTCTATTGGCACCAACAATTCCTTGAAAGTCTATGACTGTCCAAGATTAAGTCGCAGACCAAAAAAATGGATTCCTGGATGGTCCCTAGAAGTAAAAAATGTCATTATCTGCCTTGACATCAAAAATTCCTGAAAGTCTGTGAGTGCCTCAGAATCAGTCGTAGACCAAAAAATGGATTCAGAACAGGTCCCAATAAGTCAGAAATATCATTTTCTGCATTGACACCAAAAATTCCTGAAAGTCTGCGGAGTGACTCAGAATCAGTCGCAGACCAACGAAATAGACTCAGGAGGGTCCCTTTTGAAGTAAAAATGTCATTATCTCCATTGGCACGAACATTTCTGAAAGTCTGCGAGTGTTCCAGAAACATTCGCAGACCAACGAAATGGACTCTGGATGGTCCTAAAAATTCACAAATGTCATTATCTGCATTAACACCAAAAATTTCTGAAAGTCTTCGATCGTCCTAGAATCAGTCGGAGACCAAAGAAATGGACACTTGAGGGTCCCGTAGAAGTCAAAAATGTCATTATCTGCATTGGCACTAATATTTCAGAAAGTCTACGAGTGCCAAATAATCAGTTGCAGACCAACGAAATTTATACTTTATTTAAGAATGCCCTGCTAGTTTTCCTAGAACCAGCTCAGCATTCCGGCCAGAACCCTATTTACATCACTAATTTTCAGAATGCTTTGCTGGATTGCCTAGCCAGCTGAGCATTTTTAACACTATACTTTAGGAATGCCCCTGCTAGATTGCTTAGCTAGCTGAGCATACCAGCAGAGCATTTTTCGCACTATATTTTGGAAGCTCTGCTAGATGCTTAGCCAGCTGAGCTTGCCAAGCAGAACATTTTTACACTATATTTAGGAAATGCTCTGCTGGATTGCCTAGCCAGCTGAGCATTTTTAACACTATATTTAGGAATGCCCTTCTAGATTGCCTAGCCAGCTGAGCAATTCAGCAGAGCATTTTTACACATATATTTGGAATGACCCGCTAGATTGCTTAGCCAGCTGAGCATAACAGCTAAGCATTTTTACACTATATTTTAGGAATGCCCTGCTAGATTGCCTAGCCAGCTGAGCATACCAGCAAAATCATGTTTACACTGTTTGAAATGCCCCGCTAGATTTGCTTACCAAGCTGAGCATAACAGCAGAGCATTTTTAACACTTTATTTTGGAATGTCCCGATAGATTGCTTAGCCTGCTGAGCATAACAGCAGAGCATTTTTACACTATATTTTGGAATGCCCGCTAGATTGCTTAGCCAGCTGAGCATAAACAGCAGAGCATTTTTACACTATATTTTGGAAATGCCCCGCTAGATTGCCTAGCCCAGCTGAGCATAAACAGCAGAGGCATTTTTACACTATATTTTGAAAATGCCCCCGCTAGATTGCTTAGCCACAGCTGAGCATAACAGCAGAAGCTTTGGTACACTATGCTAGTATTTTGGAATGCCCCGCTAGAATTGCTTAGGCCAGCTTAGTATAACAGCAGAGTATTTTTTACACTATATTTAGGAATGCCCGCTAGATTGCCTAGACAGCTGAGGGCATACCAGCTGAGCATTTTTTACACTATATTTTTGGAATGCCCCGCTAGATTGCCCTAGCCAGCTGAGCATAACAGCAGAAGCAAATTTTTACACATAAATTTTGAAAATGCCCCGGGCTAAGATTGCTTTAGCCAGCTTGAGGCATAACAGAAGAGCTTTGTAAACACTAATGCTAAAGTATTTTTGGAAAATGCCCCGCTAGATTGCTTAGCCAGCTTAGTATAACAGCAAGAGTAATTTTTTACACTATAAAAATTTTGGAACGGGCCCCGGGCTAGATTGCTTTTTACCCAGCTGAGCATACCTGAGAGAAAGGGGCATTTCTTAGCACTTTCAATTTTGGAAATGCTCGGCTTAAGATTGCTTACCCAAGCTGTTGCATAACAGGGCAGAATCATTGATTTCCCTATATAAATCGTAATGCCTTTTTGCTTTTGGCTCACTGTTTAACTGCTAAACTTCTCACATAACCCCCTTTCTATGCTAACAGGTACATAAAACTTTTAAATCCTCATTTAAAATGGTGATTGAACTAAATTTAAATTTGATACTTCTTTCGGGCTCTTTTACCTCCATTATTAACGTATTATAGTTTAAAAAGACTTTTTGAGTATACGGTGTAAGTCGACTGTCTTCAGCGTCTAATTTATCTCGTAAGTTAAATACCATTTTGTTATTTTTACGAAATTTTCACATATTCAAATTGAAGTGTTATCGTCAAAAAATCAGTGCACAATGCCAACAGACAAGTTGCTTTGTCTGAAAATAGGCTGATCATTTATTGAACAGTTTAACAGTAAACGATTTCAACTTAACGTAGAATTCATGCGTAAAATGGTATTGACTGAAGGCCAACCCCCCCCCCCCCACACACACACACAAAACAACAACCAACCAACGAACAAAAAAACAACATAATAATTATAAAAGACAAATTACCCCCCCCCCCAACTAAAAAAGAAGGAAAAAAGAAA